ACCTCCAAAATGTTTTCTACTGCATTTTATACAAAAAGGACTCAAGCAATGACCATTCTCTAGTTCTCATGGGAGATAATACCATGGGATAGTAGATCTTTCTGACAAGATATTTTTCCCCGGTACTCGGTTTATATTTTTCTTTATTGAATTCCATCCTATTATTCTTGCTTTTAACCATTTGGATCAACTTAATTAATTTTCTCCCTTAATTTTTGTGTTTTTCTAGATGGCTGCATCTCACTTTTGTCACCCCTGGTCCAGGTTGCGCATATCTGTTTACTAGAACTCTTTCAGTCGTTCCCATAAGCAGTTCATCCTCTTGCCTGTGCAAGAGCAGGCCATCTAGTCTGCAGGTGCAAAGAATTGGAGAGTTCTACACTGACACGGGCAGGTGTTGGCCTATCACTTAGACGCAGAGTCTATGGAGAGACGGTGAGGGAGAGGAAGTCAGAACTGTGGTTCACCCCCAAACCACACTATGCTGTACATCATCATTTTTTACCCCTTCGCTTTATTTCTTCCAGTCTGTTGTCATACTTTTCATTTTGTATTCAGAAATATGCGAGTGAGTCAAGCAACTTAAGTGTAGTCTTTTTCCAGTGCTTTATAAAAAGGAACCAGCAGTTTGACTGCAAGAGTCAGAGCGTGCACACTCTGACTGCAGATCTACAGCTTGTTTTAGCAGATATTTAAGTCCCATTTATGTTGATCAGACTGCTCACCTACTTGGAGTTAAGTCCTTAGGAATCCATACTGTTGACTTGGGAATAACATACACTTTGGGGACAACATAGGGAATAACTTCTGATTAGTGATTTAGAATTCCTGTTTATTAATAACTAAAGCATTTGCAACATGCCTATCTTTTCACATTTAGGAACTCCTGATGGCTTGGACAGGGGATGTTGCACCAATTCATATCCAGATTCATCATTTCCTGTTTTAGTGGCTATTCCGTGAGAACAATAGATCCCATTTAGACATATTTAGACAGCATATGGCATATTCTGGATGCTACCATAAATCAGAGGAGTAATGATACTATAGTTGCAAGTCTCTATCTGCAGTATCTTTCCATTAGTTCATTATCACAAGCAATCTCTTCCAAAGCAAACCACCTCTAAGAATTCACTTTCCCAACCCTCCCTATAGCTGACTGGGGCTAGTCCAAAGAAAATGCTCATAAATTAAGCCTAGACTATTTTGTATTCTGTTTAAAGATATAAGTAAGGAAGGAGGAGATTCTTTTTCAGATTGACACGTCAGTTCTTATTAGGCAAAAATGTCCTGATGATTTTGACAACGGAATAGCAGTCACATATTTCAGCACATTGTGGGAGTTCCACAAGTAATCATAGGAGGGTGGGAAACAGTCTATGTGAAGGTATTTTGCCAGATGGCTCACAGAGCTGGACACACTCATTTGTGAAAATCTTCACTTTGGTTCCTGACCGAGGAGTTATCTCCTAGGGCTAGTTTAGACTTTATTCCCATGCTAAATTCAAGTTGTAACCAGACATAATTCTTCTGTGCTGCTCTCTAAAATTTGAGGGTTCAGTTTAGGAAATGAAGCCTAAATTATACAAAGATTTTGAAGTTTCACAGCAGTCAGACCAGGATATAAAATAGCCAAATACTTACAGTCTAGTTCAGGGCAAGCAAAAAACAAAACGCAGGGGGGAAGCAGGCATGGACCTACTAAGGGAGATCACTATCTCCACAGCAACATAAACATGAGCATTTGTATGTATTTCTTCCATTGCCAAGGGACTCTAGGTATTATCCTCAAATAATTGCTGCTTGCTCATTAGAAGCATAGTACTGGAAGAGGCCTCCTGGGTGAGTCAAGTTCCCTGCTGTTACATTCACTACATGATATTATCCTTTCTGTGAGCTGAGCAAGCTCTATCCTAAAATTAGCTATTCTGTTTGCCCCATTATTCTACTTGGAAATCTGCCCCAAAATTTGACTTCTTAGAAGACTTCTTTTAGTCTCCAACCTAAATTTAATTCTGGACTGTTTACTCTTCTGTCAACATTATCCTCTACATAAACAGCCCTTCTCTTTTCCTGGAGTTCCAGGGCTCAGGGAACAGCTGTATCTTCTCTCAGAACTTATTTCGTTTGGATTGTTACAAAAACAATCCAGGGTCTTTTTGTTTACTTTTGTTGTTCTTGACCATGGACGATAAGATTTGAACATAACATGCCCTTGAAAAATCCTGTTCCTGCTCCAAGAATGACTAAGGTGGTGTGTCTGACTAAGGGAGCCCTTACCTCAAATTGCTACGTTTCCCTTCTTCACAGACGCCAGCAGTACACAGTGGAGCGTCCCATAGTCTGTATGCCCAGATTCTTCTCAGCTGTTTGCAGCTCAGGAGTACCCACTTCCTAGCAGCAGTTCTTGTTTTGTGATACTGTATTTTGTGTTAGTATATTTAACCCAGTGTCAAGTTCAGTTCCTTTTGTATGATATCTTAGTCTCTTGTGTTCTGTGCAGCCCTAGCCAAGAACTGTAATAGCTGTCACAGCTTGGTCCGTATAACTTCCACTGAACATTCACCATTCAAGAATCAGTGATCCGAAAACTAGCCATCAGGCATGTTGGTTTGGGATTTTTGTATTGAGTGCTCTCATGGTTTCAGCCTCATGAATTATGTATTAATGGCTGAATTGCCATTTTCTTGTTGGCGTTCTGGCTTTTGGTGGCATACCTGCTTCCTTTGATGCAAATAAGCAGGCAGCTTTCATTGGCATAACTGCTTTTCTTCTGCTACATCAGCTACATCTGCTGGACCTCTTAATTATTCCTAGTTTTCAGCTTCTTCAAACATTGAAAAGCAAAGTGATGCTGTCACTGCATTATTCAAAGAAGTCTGGGCAAACATTCTTCTTATTGCTCCTTTTCTTATGTAGAGTTTGCCTGGGGAAATAGATTTCTAGGGACTTCTAGGTAACAGAGCTACCTCTTGTTCTGTGTCATTCATAAAAAATTTTGTAAAGGTCAAATCCTGAACCAACTGAAGTCATTGATACAGAACTAGATTTGAACTGATGGATAGGAAATATTTCCCCTAAGGTATTGCTTGGTTGATGACCCAGAGAAATGCTTTACAGGTAAAGGGAAAACATGATATTCTATTGACTAATTGAAAACCGTACAGATCACTGCTGATCTTTTTTTTTTCTTTTCCATTCAGAAGGGTACTCTATCTTTCACTCTATTTATGATTTGATCATAAAATTTGTACCAAAGCACAGACGCTAGTATGTTCTGAGAAAGATGACTTGTATTTAGTGGAAATAGATTTTAACTTATAATATTAAGGAAAACCTGGTATAAATAGGGTTATTGGAGTGCTTATAAAAGTTTTCTCCTCCTGTCATTTAAAGCATTCTCAGGTATGTTTCTATAGCTTTTATTAGTGCAGTAATTAATATATCTGTCACCCAGACTGCCCTGCATGCTGTTGATGTTAATTACTTCAGTCACTTCAGTTATATAGTCTAGTGACATTATAGTTGAAATATATTCTAAGTGAGCCTCCAACAGGATCTTTACATCTCATACTTGAAGTACAGGTGCATTTAAAAAAATAGAGAGAATTTAACAGGTAGCATTTTTAAAGTGCCTAAGTCATTCTGGCAACGTTATCTGTCTAACAGAAAACGTTCTACTTGGTTTGCACACTCGTAAGTGAAGAAAGATGACAGTGAGAGTGAGATATGACTTACTTGTCCTCTTTAACTCCTTTTAGGGAGGCCCATCTTGCAAGTTCCTGGGGTTCAGTAAATCACAAGCTTTTCTTAACCCTTAACATTATCAAGCTGTACCATAAATCATCACCGTTCATCTTCCTAATTGCTTTTAATAACACATAGAGGGATAAATCGTTTCTTAGAAAAATACTCCAGTTGGCCATGCTCTACTCTTACAGAGGACCTAGTCCAGTGCCTTGAATTTAGTATCCGAATTGTATTTTAGGTGATATAGATAAAATGGGAAGCCATAGCATTATCTCAGGTCATAATGCTTCCTGTCACTTACTAGTTCATTGGTAGCAGGCAGTTTGCAGAAGCCGGTACTTAGCATTTACATGAGAGGAGGAAAAAAAAAAAAAAAAGAAAACCTTACCTTTATCTTTTGAATGCCAGAATGTCTCAGGCACTATATAATATGTGCCTGTTTGTTAGATTACTAGTGTGGAAGTCAATTCTTCTACATTACAGTGGAAATAAATCTATTGCCAAAGTCTGGTAAGCAGCATTTATTTCTGCCCTTTGGATACTTTGTGCCAATCTACTGGTAGAAAACAAATATAAGTAAAGCCGAACTGATAGGTTAAGTCAGGTTTATGGCTGCTTTGTGTCTCTGGGACAGCATAAAATGGCCAGAGACTGACTGGTGAATATTTTGTTCCAAGATTCCCATAAGAAGCAAAACACATTATTTTTGCACATTATTTATGATCTGTAGCTGCAATAAATTTGTTGGTTGTTTGATTACACATCAGATCCATTATTACTTAAATAGCTGGCTTAACATGTATAATTGTCATGTATTTATATTAAACAAGTGCTTCCAAGTGAAAACAAATTAAGGGAATAAGATTGCCCTCAGCTATTTCTGAGGTGTTTCCTGAACTATGGAAAAATTCGTGTTTTCTAGGTTACCTATGCATTTATGTATGAAATAATGAATTCTTTAATTATATCCCTATCATATCCGTCTTTGAATTAGTTCTCTAATTAACTCAGTTGCTGCTTAAATAGCAGTTCCTGTGATCATTACTTGGATATAAACCTAAAATCTGTGTGACATGCGATTGCAAGTCCCTGATCAGACCATACTCAAGTCACTTGACAATTTTGTGCATCCCATTTTTTAGTGATTTTTTTATAAATGCCTGCTGTGTTGAAGTATCAGTCAAACCTTTCTCTTTCTGAAGGCTTTTAAGGGTTCAGATATTTATTGTATTTTTCTTTCTTTTCAACAGATATAAGCTTACCAAAATCAGCAACGATATGTTACACAGCTGCATTGCTCAAAGCCAGAGCTGTCTCTGACAAGTAAGTGCGTAAGAACCACTGTCCAGCAAAAATCCTGATTTAACTGAAGATTTCTCTTAGCTGATGTGCTGAGCCCACACCCTAACAATCTGCTGGGTTAGCAGGAGAATTGTCTGTCCTGCAGTAAATTCATAAAATGACATTATATATAAGAAGAATTTGTATTGACCAAACACTTCAAATATTACAGAAGAAGAAAAGAAGAGAAATAGCATAAATTCTTGTTTCAGTTTTATGTATACTATCTGGGGAGCAGCGGCTTCCTAGGTAGTATAATGAAGACGCAACTAAAAGGTGCTGTGTGGCTGAACATCTTCACTTTGTATAAAACTGACCCCCAAAAGGTAATGCATAAATGTGGGTACAGTGGTAGTGATGTTATTCTACAAGTGCTGTCAGAAGACTGTTCATCTACTTAAATAGCAGCAGGTGGATTTAGCATTACTATGTCAGGGTTTCTGACAGGTAGATGGTATTCATATTTTTAGAGACACAAGTATCTGCTCATTCCTGTTATGTTTTTCTCTTGGGTCTCAACCTTCCAAGGTGCTGAGCACATATACTTGATGCCTGTGGACTTGAGAGCATTGGCCCACTTTGAAAGGTTGCTCGGCTCCCTGTGAGATGGAGCCCAAAGATCCAGATTCTGCTCTCAGGTGCCTTCACACAAATCCCGGGCAGGAGTTGTGTCTGTGCACCTGAGGGTCGAATGCCTCCCTAAAGTTGGAAAGCAAGTAGAGTGGAAAGCCATTTTCTGAACTGACATCCTGACAATTTTTGCTTTTAAAGTGTATGTACACATCAAGATCTAAGTAATTTTCTTTCATTCTTTTTATCCTGTAGATCGCCAGTACCTACTGCAACATCTTTCCTCCCTACACAGCGACTCCAGCTTGGGAGGGCAGGGCTAAGGTTGTCACAGCTTTCCCTGTGGTGTCTGCCTGCCAAGTACAGCTCTGGAGTTAGCCGTGGGGTGTGAGGTGAGAAAGAGATTGCATGGTCTGGTTTTTCATTCACTGGGGCAGATGATTTGCCCACAGTTTGGGCATGCTACCCTCAATGGTGCTGCGGCCAGTAGACCACCCGCTACTGCTGCTGCATCGTGCTTCCATCCCAACCTGACCCAGGGGCATTGGGTTGGGAACCTCCCTAAAACCTTCCCAAATCTGTTTTTAATAGAAATCTTCCGACAGTTATTTGGCATTGGTTTTTTTTGCTTTTCTTTTTTCTGCAATTTCAGCCTTGAATATGCCCCCTAGCAAGATACCTAGAGCAAATTTAGATTAGTGACAGAGAAAGCACTGACTGTTTGAACTGACTTCCTGCTATGATTAGATGCAAACACGCTTTCCACTTCTGCTGAGATTTTCATTGGCCTTGATGTAATAGGTCACTCAGAGTTTCCACTTACTATGGAAGTTTGGAGAGCATAGGAAATTGGCTCAGTCTGCTTACATGGGCCCATAGTCTAGATTCCTTTTCTGGCTTTTACTTTCTAGCATTTCTGACCTAATGTATTTGTTTCTTTGCTTTTGTAGATTTTCTCCAGAGGCTGCCTCAAGGCGAGGGCTGAGTACAGCAGAGATGAATGCAGTAGAAGCTATTCACAGAGCAGTAGAGTTTAATCCACATGTGCCAAAAGTGAGTAGGAGAAAGTGTTGTTGTAGAGTTAACACTGCTGAAGACCTAACTCTTAGTTTTTGCGTTAGGTGAACAAGTTGATGTTGTGGAAAGGGGAACAACCAATGGGGTGGGAAAGAAGCTGATAGTAGGCACAATTTTTTCATTTGGGGTTTCACGTTAAGTGCCTTCTACTATGGACCTGGAAATCTGAAATTTTAGCTGAAGTGAATCTTCTGTTGTGAGCAACAGTTACATACTGGATTGGGGCAGTGGGCACCACCAGATGCTATGTTACAGGACAGAAGTCTTCATAGAGATGAATTACTCTTTACACAATAGTCATTAAAGATCTAGTTTAAAATAGCATATTTTCTTTGTTTTCAAGATCGTGCCTAAGAATCTATTTTCAGCATGCTGTACAAAGGGACCTAGGTTTGGAGTTCTGGTACGCTTCACATAAATTGCCTTAGTAATTCCTTATGCAGCACCCTGTCACTAAGCTCTGAAAACTTAAAGCTCATGGATGAAGAATCGATGAAACTACAAAGTTCACTAGGAAAAGGGATTTACATTCTAATTCCCTAATCCCCTCCCTAGATACATATCACAGCAATAAGAATCTTGCCTTCTGGCTACTAAAGGCTAATATATTTTATTATTTTCTCACCTGTTACTCTGTACTGCAGTATGTAGGTTCGTGGTAAAGAAAGGCAGATTAAGGGCAGATGCTTTTTCACCCTCAGAGATCTGCTCCTGCACTTCAGCCTCCAAACCTCCTGTGGGTCCAATATTGCCCTCTGAAAGCAAGCAGCCTCCACTGGGGAGCGGAAGACTGAGGTGTGTTAAAATAGAGGCCCTACACATCAGTTACAGTTGAACACCAAGTGTGTTCGAAAAAAAAATAGATATATATCGGTATGGCAGAAATTCCTTTCCCATGTATGTCAGGAATTAAGCATTTTCTTTGTAGGATATACCTCTTATGCCAGCCACTAAATAGCGTGGTTTAGCTATCTGAAAGTTGGGCTGTTTGTTTAACAAAATCATCTAGACTTCCTCTACAGGCAGTGGAAAGAAAGAACTGTCTTTAACATCTCGTTTGTACAAACTTTCCCTTCAAGATGCCTCTCTCTACATTGACTGGGAAAGGAACAACTATTTTCAAGTAAATGCTTGAGTTTTAGACAACAAGATTTAGGTGAGATGAGTGCCTTTGTATTATTAGCTGATCTCTACTCTTGTGCCAAGCTGTTTAGAAGATATTAAGTACAGTCTGATTCCAGAACTGCTCCCGAGGAACTATGTTTTACTTTCTCCATCCCCATGGTTCTTGTCCCAGCGCAATCATTGATACTGCTCTTCTAGCTGGTTGCCTGGTTACCTCTACGTTCCAATCCTACTCTGGGTGAACCTTTCCAAATGTTTTACTGAAGCCTGGATAGAGTACTATATCCTTTCTGACAAAAAAGACAAAAAAGAAAAAAAAAGAGTGAGGGATTATCTTGCAAAGCAAAGATATCAGTTTAGCCTGACGTGAGCTGTACCTGGGAGCCTGTTCTATTTTCCTCACTTATCTGCATGCTTTTGATCATTCTTTCCTTCAGTTGCTTTTCTAATAGTTTACACACTAGTGAGTCCGTATTAACACACATTTTTTCCTTTCTCATTAAATAAGCAGTATTGCATTTACTTTTCTCATTACAGGATCACTTGATTCTGAACGTGGATTTTCATTTTACATCCTTAGTGCCAGCCCTGGCTATTTCCAGGGCCAGTTCTTGCAGTGTTCAGAGATGGAGATTACTGACTGCTGTGTTTTCCACTTTTGTATGCATTCCTATTGCTCATTCTGCTATTGTCTCCATGTTCAACATTACCATGAAACTGAGGCTAAGTCTTCCTTTACTACCTTTTTCCTTGTTCTATTTTCTGTTTATACTTAACAGCCTTCATTTCCTTTGCAAAATCTAACTTAGTTTAAGCTGCAATCAGCCCGTAATGTCTGTGCTTTCAGACCTCCAAGATACTGCTTTACTTGCAGATCAGTCTTTCTATCCATCACTTATGACCCTCTGCTCACTCCCCAACTTCTGTTTAGGAGGCTGTTAGTTAAAAGGCTGAATCTCTCTTTCTGGCAGGTAGCCCCATCTGTGGAATGCAAATTCCATGTTATTCTTCCTGCTTTTGCTTCAGTCCTCTGCCACGTTGAAGTTCCTGAGCTTTTCAGTCCAGTTCACCTCATTAATTGATTCCCCCAGTTTTTCAGAGTCTATACTTTTGAAATTGAAAACCTTTGAGAGATGTATAAATTATCAGTATAGCGAGGTGGTGAAGGGAGCAGACTGTGGAGGGGTTTACTTTGTATTTTAACATTAAAACAGTGCGGCCTGATACAGATTAACATACAGCACTGCTAATTTCACACTCATGTTTTCTTCTGTAAGCCGGAGGATATTAAGGTGGCAATAGTATACTTGCGATTATACTTTTATGCAGAGTATGGGTATTACACCTCAATTTCCAGCTCAATTATGATTTAAGTCATATCCAATTTGTTCTTAAATGGAGATAAGTTTTATCAAGCAGCATCACAAAAAATCTAACGGTGTCACAAAACTAAAAGGTCTTCAAAGCTCAGTTCAGGAAGCCTCAGCCACAGGTTATTAAATTCGCATTGTTTTGGGATTACACTGAAGCCACAATGTGACACATAGAGATGTCAGAACTAGGTTTAAATGAACAAAGGCAGCACAGAGCTCAGTACAGTCTGCCAAATCTATCCAAGAAGCTGGGCAAACACTAGAGCTGTTCGCCGCTGTTGACCTGGCTGTGGTGTTTTTGGAAGCTGAGCTATGTAGTGTAAGGCTAGCTCAGGCACATGAACTGTGATCTCATTCTTGACTGCAGCGGGAATGTAACCACTGTCAAACAGATCACGACTTCTCGTTCTGAAGATATCTTATACCTGTAAAAAGTGTTCTCAGTGCTTGAGAGCTGCTTAATTTTTTCAGCTATGCCAGAAGAATACCTGATAAAAGTTATTACCTGTATCTACAGACTTTTATCCATAACTTTATGTTATTGGAACATTCCAGCTACAGCAAATTGTGGTTTTATACTTTGACAGAGATTGACTTTGTAAAAAGAAAGCAGTTGGACAGGCAAGAGTATTTTCAGGGTTCCTTTTAGGAGGGAAAAAAAAGGTACCAGTGGGAAATGAAGCCAGCAGTACAGCAGGAAAAGAGAACAAAACAAAGAGCTGTAAATTCCACTTAGAGAAGAATCATAACAAATGGAATCATTTGTTTGTCCCAGAATTCTGGCCTGGAGATCTTTTATCGTCATTCAATCCTCCAGGGCCATTCTCTTTCTCTTACTCTTACTTCCTGTATCTTATCTTGAACCACAGAACGGTTGAGGTTGGAAGGTACCTTTAGAGAACATTTAGTCCAATCCCCCTGCTCAAGCAGAGTCCCCTATAGCAGGCTGCCCAGGACCATGTCCAGACAGCTTTTGAATATCTCCAAGGATGGAGACTTCACAACCTCTCTGGGCAACCTGTTCCAATGCTCAGTCCCCGCACAGGAAAAAAGCTTTCCCTTAGGTTCAGACAGAAACTTCCTGTGTTTCAATTTGTGCCCAGTGCTGCTTGCCCTTCACTGGGCACCACTGGGAAGAGTCTGGCCCCATCCTCTTGACACCCTCCCTTCAGATACTTATGCACATTGATCAGATCCCCCCCGAGCCTTCTCTTCTCCAGGCTGAACAGGCCCAGCTCTCTCAGCCTTTCCTCATATGAGAGGTGCTCAAGTCCCTTCATCATCTTAGTAGGCCTTCACTGGACTCACTCCAGTAGCCCCATTCCAGTAGCCAGAACTGGACCCAGCCTTCCAGATATGGCCTCACCAGGGCTGAGAAGAGAGGAAGGATCACCTCCCTTGACCTGCTAGCAATGCTCTTCCTAATGCAGTCCAGGTTTGGCCGCCTTAGCCACAAGGGCGCATTGCTGGCTCATGGTCAGCTTGCGCTGTTCAGTTGAAATGCCAAGGACTTGCTCATCAACTTTTCTCTTTGCTTCTTTTTGGTGTGAACTTATAAAGTGTCTACATTTTTTCAAACATCTGTCTGAAATGAGATTCTAGGGAGTAGTATACCTTTGTTTTAGTGTAGTGTCATGCACTGTAGAGTGTTGGTCCCAAGGAAGAGGGCTGACACTGTCTGACAACATTCTGCTCCGAAATGTAGGAGTTTAAAAACAAAAAGGTTTTATTGCCAATTTAAGACAGGTATCACTGAAGTAGTTGGGATATTAGTGTCAGTCTAGAGGCATATGTATGGAAAAGAGTGTAGTACATCCTAGGTCATGGACAGTAAATAATTCCTGGGGTTTACGGAAGAAAAAACACAAGACTTCAATATTATTATGTTGTGTTTGGAGCTTATATGTAATGCAGCTATCCCAAGCTGATGTTGATAAAATACTACAGCTGTTTCTGGGATGTTCCTCAGTTGTGGAACACCCTTTCTGAACTGATTTGCAAGGCTCCCTCCCTGCATTCGAACTCCTCCTGAAAGGCCCTGTCTCTTGTGTCATTTGTAAGACATTAGCTATTCAGTAAAGTGAAAGGGGAGAGAAAACAGATGTAGATCCATATATCTGATTGTTAAAAGTAACCCGGAAGTGTGCTGTGCACGTAGCTGTATGGGTTTGCTATGTAAGCCAAGGCTTTGAGATGATCTAATGAGACTACCTGCTGAAGTCTGTAACAATTTAATCAGACAACTTAAATATTGGTGTTACTTAAGTCCCAGTTTTGTGTGTAAACTGTTTCCTAAAACGATGTAACCAACCATTAAGTTAAACAATTGTAAAATTTTACCTGTTTTCCCTTTCATCCCTTCTCATTTCTTTCCTTCCTTCTTTTTTAATTTTTTTTTGGGGGGGTGGGGTAGAACTGTATCTGAATTCCTGCATGGTTTCTAGTAAGTTGTAGTTGCTAATAGAAACAAATAATGCA